ACAGGATTGCACAACCTTAGGATTTACCTCAGAATTCATTTTTACTTTAACATACTGCAAAATGATCATTAATACTAATAGAGAAGATTTGGTTTCACTTTTAAAGGGAATAATTCTGGCCATGAGACCCTTAATACCAATTCTTTACTGGCAAGTGACCATTAGAAGTGACAATTCCTTTTAGTTGACTGGTCTTGAGCAGCTCCAACATAACTCATAAGGCTCTCACCAGAATAAGCAGCACCGTCAAGGTTTCTAATAGATGCTTCGCCTCTCTGAACTGGTGGCTGCTGCTTTTCCAGAGTAAAGAACAGCTGAGTTTAGCATATGGGATAGGATCTTTCAGGCTGTATTTTGGGGTGAGGGTCTGGCCAGTCATTCCAGGCTGCAGCTTTGGGAATCCTGTAATATGCATAACATGTTAAGATCACTGTATATGGCTAATAAAATCATCTTAACACGCTATGCATATTACAGGATTCCCAAAGCTGCAGCCTGGAATGACTGGCCAGACCCTCACCCCAAAATACAGCAACCCCTCCACAGACTCCCAGACACTTGTGGGCACACGACAGGTGGCCTTAGCTGTGAGCCAAGGCAAGAAAACCACACAGCTGGTGTTTCAACAGTCCACTGGGAAAAACAAAACAACTGGCATTTCTAAATTTAAAAATGGAAAAAAAACACATATTTGCCCTTTTTTTTTTGCTAGTTTTTTTTTCCATCCCTGTATCTCTTTCGTTGGTACAGAGTTATTTTCTTGCTATGACTGACCCCAGACATGATCTGTCATCCCAGACTTCACTGACCCAGCTGATTTCCTTGGGCCCATTAGCCAGAAAGTTCCCATTTCCCAGACAGGTGGTCAAAGTTTCAATTGAAAAAATGTCAAAGGAGCACAACATTTACACTATGCAGCTTGCCATTCTATGTACAGTTCATGCCGGCAAAAAAATATGTCAGTGAACTATAGATAGTGAAACCTGCTGAGGGCATTGTTAAAAAAATCCAGGGATTTTGCTTTGTAAAGGTACAGTATAATTCAACATCCACTAAAAAATACCCATTTTCTTATGGTCATACACATGTATGAAATCAGAAATGTGTAATATGTTACATGTTATAGACAAACAGATTAAAAACATTTTAAAAAAATACTTAAGCAAAGGATGATTAAACAGTCAAACATACGGTAACAGGAGCACATGGCTACACACCAGGCTTTGATGTAGTATCTGTGTGGTGCCTTACATTAAACATTGAAAGCTGAACACAATCTTCTTCAGTTTGAAAGCTTTAGATTACAACTACAGTGCCTAATAAAGGTATTCATCAGCTTCCAATAATGTCACGATCGGTTGAATTGCAAATAATGTATACATACTGCTTTACCGGGAATATTTTAATATTTAAACCACACACTTATATACATGAAACAAGGTAAATGTTAGCAAAAGAAAAATAAAAAAACGAGATGTGTATACGTATTCACTCCAGTGATTCAATACATCTCTCGACTTCTCTACTACTGTAGCTTTACGAAATGAGAATCAACAAAGGCTTCCTTCTTGCCATACAGACCAGCTTTGACTCGTAGACATTTTCTTCCAATTCAGCAGCATTTTCAAAGCGGCCTCACTATGGCATCCTCAACCACATTCCTGTTTGACAGGTTCTCAGTCTAGGAAAACAGACTGATCTAGGCAATGTCTGTGTGCGACAGTACAATAGACTTTCCATTTCTTAATGATCAGCCTCACCGTGCTCTGAGGTCTTTGCTCAATGTCTTTGAATTGTTTTTATACCCATCTCTATAGTGCCTTTCTACCACTTTATTTTGAAAGCTCTTTGGTCTTCATGGATGAATTGCTGTTTGAAATTTCAGAGACAGGTGTATTTATCCTGAAATCATGTGAACCATTATAATTGGACACAGACATAGGCCATTCATCTAATCGTGTGACTTGTATTTTAGTGCACTTCAACAAATTTAAGTTTACTACAGCAAAAGTGGCGAGCACTTTCACAATCAACATAATATACAGTAGTTTTGGATTTTTTCCAGAGACTTACCATTTCAGCCATTAATCTGTTTAGAGCGAGCACTCAAGCTATATTATTCACTTAAAAAACATATGTATACATCATTTGTAATTCAACCAAATTTGACAATTTCAAGGGCTGAATGCTTTTGCAAGGTACTAAGTATGAAAATACTTAACACTTAACAATAACACTTTAATATAAAATTCTGCACAAATACAGACTATTACTAAAAAGAAGCACAACTTACTAATCAGTATCGTGCTCTAGCAATTGATGCTAAATGCTTAACAAAGAACTGTAAAAAGACTTCCAGGCTATTTTATACAACATAGAAAAGTAAACCTGCAGAATTTTGAAGAAAGAAGACAAATAAAAAAGACCATAGATCAGGAGCTGGAAATGCTTGTGGGGGATGCCATACAGTGTCACCTGACGCTCTGGTCAAACAAGAGCACCTGACAGAACATCCTCATCAAAATGCTTGGAAGTGACCACACATACTTAGATTGTTTTAATTACACACATACTAAATCATAATACACTGATACTTTCCTTAAACTTTCTAATGTTGTCTTCTAGTGCTAGATTTCTGTAAATAAATCTCTATTTCATCTCCTGATCCATAGCTGGTACTGTAGTGTTTTGTCTTCTCTGCAAAATCATTTGTGTATTTAAATAAATCATTTTAACCATGAAATTATTTATAAATAGCACAATTCACCAGATTCTGATGATATCCAACTATATGATCTATTCAACAATCCTCAGAGGAACACATTCATGTTTTTACATTTTCATTAAATACATAAATCCAGGTTTAATAATTCTGTAAGGCACTGCAAATAACAGTTGACATAATATGCAAAAAAAAAAACTAGGGTTATAAAATGTAGCTATTGCATCTGTGTAATACATTTTTAAAGGATTTAAAACATCTAAAATTGGGGTACATATTGTAGGTTATGAAGTAATAAAGTCTGTCCTTGTACCACAGTGTCACCTACACCAATGGTAGTTCCTGTTTGCACAGCTGGGTGGCCCAGGGCAATTGGGGTAAACAACCTTGTTCAAGTGTATAATAACAGTTTTTACTTTAAGAAGCTAGAGCTCTGGCCCATTTTTTTTAGATTATTATAGTGCTATCAAACATATAAAATAGAAAGAACATTTTCACAGTGAAGTCCTAGAAACTACCATGGCCTCCAAATTCACAGAGCATTCACTCGAACAGTAAGTTAATAGTAAGTTAACAAAACCTTTTGAATATGTGAATATGTTAAGCAATCTGCTCTATTTTCTCCTCATTTAAATTGACACAGCTAATAAATATCCTTCCTTCCCATTTCCTTTATTTCATTTAAGTAACATGACATGGTTATTTGCATGATTTTAACCCAGTCAACATTTACACACTGAAATGCAGCATGTTGGCTATATTGCAGTTTTGTTATTGACAAGAGACCGACAGAGTTTTGAAACAGAATGCATAAGGTCCACAAAGTTTCGTAGCAGTGTTTCTTGAGATTGGTCTTTGTAACAAGAGCTTACCCTCTCACAGCCTTATCTCGCATCATTCAGTGGTAGCTGCTTCATGAGACCTTTTAACATTTTTAATGTTTAATGTTTAATGTTTCTTTATTAGCCCTATACAATTTCTTGCATTAGGAATGCGTCTTTTTGCATACCCCAGCTTTTCTCCATGGAGACACAGACACAGGGACAGGGAGAGAAGCTTGGGGTCATAGTGCAGGGTCTGCCATTGTACGGCGCCCCTGGAGCAGTTAGGGTTAAGGGCCTTGCTCAGGGGCCCAACGGAGTAGGATTCCTCTGCCGGCCGCAGGATTTGAACCTTCCAGTCACAGGCGCAGATCCTTAGCCACAGAGACACCGCTCCACCCTTTTAGTGGCCTGGAATTATGTGATTACCATGCAAGGACCCCATCCTAGATCCTAGCAATCACATACGTCCCTTCCCAGAGAAAATTAGATCTGGGTCTTCCTCTGAATTTCCCATTCACTTCCTATTTGATCATTTCCTTCACTAGGCATGAGAGTAATCATTCTGTCTCATCCCTTACCACTGACTACACTGGCAGACAATGCCTCCCTCCTGCTGGTGCCTCTTGTCAGCCCTGGTCCAGCATGCCATCCTGGTCCTCAGCAGTACATGAGGAGAACCTTCCTACCGGGAATGGCTGCTCATGCAGCCCATCTATCCAGAACCTGTATAGCACCTGCATAAAGGATTTACTCTATCTACCTCACAGCTCGGTGACTCCCATAGCTGGCTCTAGGAGGAACTCCCATATATGGATTCCTCACTCTCACCTTCTCAGCTGCAGTCTAGGAGCAGACTGATTCACTTTCCTCAGGCTGCCCAGAGGAATGACTAATTCCACAGCCAGGCTAACTGTTCTTTTTTTTTTTTCTACCATGCTCTACCTGTATGTGCTTTTAGTCCAGATCTATCTAATTCTGCAGAATTACTCAGCAGTCATTGGCTCGAAATACACCATTGACCCTGGTTTGAACCAAGATAATACAATTATTAGTAGCAACCCCTCCTAATGACTATCTGTATGGTTATTACCAAATCCTCTTGGATAGAAATACCTTATTTACGGATACTTCAGCGTTAATTCCATTATTATGCATTTAGAAAGTGCAATTTGAAGTTTCTAAAGTGCTACTAATTTATGCCCATGCCTGTAGTCAAGAAAAGCATTTCTCCATTGATCTGGAAATCCTAGTAAATTCAACTGCTACTCATTCTTTGATTTAAACAGTGCAACATCAATAATAGTACTTACGTTAATCAAAAATCAATCATATTTCTGACAATTAAATTTCAAATTGCAAGGACTAATTCTTTTATTGAAGAAACAATTACTGACAAAACAGCATTGACAGAGGGGATCCTCAGCATATGTCAAGTATTCACAGACAGTGCTTACCATCATTGAGGTCCTGCAGCAGGTTTTCTTGCCCGGAGAAGTCCAGTTTCACCCTTATGTTCACAGTTAAAGTGGCCACTTGCCCAGGCTTCAGGGGAAACTGGGAAAGTGTGTCTTCCAGGTTCCAACTCAAGAAGTCTCCAAACAGTTTCTCTGGAAGAGAAAATAAATATGCATGGAAATTGTGTTGTTTTTACAACACCCTATCAGCACATTCTCATATCTGTTGTGCTGAACATGACAGGGCCTCTGAAGAGGTTTTAAGATCCCCAGGTATAGATCAAACTGACAAGTCTGCTCCTTTCTTATCAAGCGTCATTACCATAAACCCTTTTGCCGATAAAATATCACCCACGTTCTAAGTCATCTGGAGAAATAAGCTTTATTTTATAGCCTCTAAACAGCTGACAGAACAAAACCTGAAGAATGACTTAAGCTTTCCAAGTTTTAGGGGCTTTACATTGCAATATATCATACTGAATTATTTTTGTCCATATATTGCTTACAACAGTATTTAAAATATTTTAAATACTAATAATCAGTTTTAAATGTTGCATTAGTTGTACAATAGCCTTTCAAAAAATGTAAGAAAGGCAAACCTTCATTATTATCTACCATTTTAAAACGCTTCTACAAACAGTAAGGTTGAGACTTTGGTTGACACCCTTTCAGCCTTTTTAATAGGTTTTACCAAGAAAACCATTTAAGATTCCCCTCAGAGGCAAATGCGAGTACAACGATGGAAATGTATTGTACCATATCCATCGTGCAGAAGAGCAATAGAAAAAAAGACTAAATGCCATTTCTTACATCAAAGTATTTTTTTCCAATTAAGAAAATCTTAAATTTCAAATCTAGGAGGCCTCACAACAGGACACTTTTAGACTCTTTCATAATGTATGCTCAGCATTCTTTAAATATATGCTTTTAAAAGAATAGAAGGTGTTATAAAGGCAGAAAATGCATATTTATGAAAGCAACACTGCAGTAAAATTCAAGTAAAAGCTATTCTATAAAAGGAAAAACAAAAAAAACTAAATAGATAAGGCACTTACTGGTAACATCTCCAACTGATGGGAGTGGATACTTATTATGCAATTTACTCACTTACTCATGTAACTGGATGTATTTTAGCAACACACCCATTATCTTTGTAACACTTGCTAAGCTACAGGAACCACTTAACTGTTGCCTTACACAATATGGCGCAATGCACAAGCACTCTCGGTCACTGGCAAAAGCAGTACGGCATGTTTCTCCTAACCTAATGCAGCCTGAATGTGAGTGTGAGTTATTGCACCTTGTTTGATATGCCATATCATCTATCAACCGCTTCGACAGCAAAAGCTTTTTCTAGCTGCCATTCAACATACGCTAAAAATAGACATTTCAAAGTCTTGCCCATATATTACTTGCCAGTCGCAAGTTTCATCTTTTGTCCCGAGTATCTGCATCATAAGTCAATTTATTTGGCATTAGTTCGGTAAAGTAAAGTACCTTACATGTTCAGACCATACAAATGCCCTTAAAAAGTATTTCAGTATACAAAGTATTTTATATCTACAGTACAAAGACATAGAAACATTCAAACAAAAACAGAAGAAACATACTCAGTTTATAGCAATGCGGCTCTTCTGTATCTTAGACAAGGTGAGAAACAGTGAGGAAGATGACAATTATAGACAGGAAGCCTAACGGCCACTACGCATAAGACATTGTAGTGGAATAAATGATCACTGACTCAAAGACCACCAGAAGGATGGATACAGAAAGAAACAGATGTCAAAAGATACGGACCTAAGAATATAATATTTAATAATCAAGATTCCTAATTGATTTAATCTGATTGATGTCCCCATAAATTTACCTTCTGTTGGTTAAGTTTAAAAGATTTTTATCTGTAAACAACTATCTCTAGGAAACGAATCACACTTGCTCTTCCTGAAAGGATTAAATGTGCCTTAGGATGTGACCTTGTCACCTCTACCACAGACAAAACAAATCTTATTATAAAGCCATTTAGAAAAATATACGTAGGGCACCAATAAATACTGATCTGTCCAAATAACTTGATGGGCTGCAATAGGCATTTTACTTTATTTAATGCTTATTCAATTACTGAGTGAATTAGTCACATCAAGGTCACATTCTATAGTGCATTTAGTCTTTAAAACTAACAATGAACCAGAGGACATGTGAAAAACATTTTTACGACAGGTAATATTCCACTACTCAAAGGGTTATCGGAGTCTGGAAAAAACTGTTCAGATGTGTAGCAGATCCTTCCAGGCTACTGGCATGGCATTTTTCCAACTAAAATAATGGTAAATGCCATAGTTGCGTTCTGCGTGCGTACGTTTGACCCTACTTACACCCTATAGACACAAATGTTGGGATGTGCCATACACTAAATACCTTCAATACATCAACTTGTGACTTGTATTAAACAAAAACACTGTTTACACAGACATAAAATACATAAAGTTATGTTTACTGTAAAGGGAATTTGAGTGAGAGAAGATGTGAAAGAGAAAAAAAACTCTCAACAACAGCATCACTGTGTACCAGTATTCCCAACGCACCAACACAACACCAGCATCAGGCGGCTAACGGCATAACTATGTGGTGCGCTTTATTTTGACTCGAGCTACGTACAGTAACTTAAACAAAAATAGACTTAAGGGTATATGGCATTATTTTAAAAATGTGTATTTCCCACTGTCAGATTTTCGACATTTTCACCATTAAATGTTTCCAGAGTTCACGTGGGTCATAGCGATACTCTATGTAAAGGGAGCCCGAGGGAACACATCAAATCAAACGTTCAGTGTTTGTTTAATTTGTTGAGTAAATCTGGTCAGCATTACAGGATGTCTTTATGTTTGTAATGCCCCAAACGTGCATTGAACGCTGTCTTCCATTCATCGCCTTGCCGGATTTTGACCAAACTGTAGGCGCCTCTCAGGTTACCTTTTGTTTATATTTCACCTGGTTGGCCCTCTTAAGTAGTGACAGAATCAGAGGCAGGGGATACCAGTTCTTCTTATTTATCTTATTTAGCCCTGTGCAATCAATACAAGAATGGATGGAGTGAACAATCCTTTTTCGGGAATAAGAAGAACACAGCATTCATCAGCTGAAGAGCACTGGTGGTCTCCTGAGGGATTCAAGATGGTTTCTCCAATTCCTCTCCCAGACAGCACTCTCTTAGATGGTTGTCAAGATGGATGGCTGGTGTCATAAGGGCATCAAGGGTGTCCAGCAGGTGCTTAAACGTCAGCTCATCCTTGAGATCTTCTGAACATGGCGCAGAGTGCTTCCACCCCCAATCCACACTCAATGGCCAGGGTCCAGAACTGGATGGCATATTTGTGTGCAGGCACAAGGTACTCTGCTTGAGGCAGAGAAGGTGGTGAGTGGATTCAGTGACCTGGCTCGGGGAGTCAAAGTCCATTCAGAACATCTAAGTGAACTGAACGGAGATACTTCATAGGAATTCTGTCTTCTCCCACAAGGCAGATGCCCAGGACAGAGCCCTGGGTGTCTTGTTTGATCCAGAGCTCTATTTTGATGCACAAAAAAAAGCCATCTGTAAAGTCTCACTTACTTTCACCTCTGAAACACTGTCTGCATTCAGTCTTTTCTTGATTATGCTGCTGCAGAAACCCTGATTCATGCCTTCATCACATCTCAGATAGAATACTGTAATAGCCTTATTGTAACAGGCTATAGTCTCCCTAACTTGAACAAACTAGTTCAAAACTCAACTCTCCATTATCATATCAATAATATCATTATCAAGACTCCATTATCATATCACCCCAATTCTGATACATCTTCACTGGCTCACCATTATTTAGCAAATTCAGTTCAAAATTCTATTTTAAAATTTTTAAAGCCTTAGATACCAAATCCCCATAATACTTCTCATTTCTCCCTATCATTTAATCTCTATCAAACAGGGTTTTATGCTGTGCTGAGATACAACTTTTATTAGTTCTTTCTTATAGGTATGTGTGCCTCCGGGTGCACATTTTTAATTACCTTGCTCCACAACTCTGGAACTCACTCCCTGCAAATTCGAGAAATATAAGCTCTTACAATTTTAAAATCTCGGTTTATCTGTTTAGTCAGGTTTTCATTTTCTTTTTTTTGTATCTACTTATATATCTATAGATATTTATTGATATCCTTATTTCTGTTCATGTTATTTTGATTTACCACTCTGTAAAGTGCCCCAAATATTGTTGGTGTATATGGGCACTGAAATTAATTCTTCTTTAACATTCATGGTTGAAAATACACATAAATTCAGAAAATCTAAAAGGGGTCAAATACTTTTCCATGGAAATATACCCACAAAACCCCCTATGTATTAATGAATAGTGCAGAACCGGGGATGAGGACAGACAAACCCTGCTATTTCCAATATTCCCAACCTCAGAATGATCCATAATCCACTAACCTTTCCATTTCTCCTGAGTTCTGAAACTTGCAATCTAACTGATCCTGTTTGGCCAGGAACTTATATTGTCCCTGACACTTGCCCAATCTGTCACACCTAGATTAGTACAGACCTTGAGAGATGACTCAGCTACCATAGGTGATAGCATTAATAGTTTTCTCATTTAAAATGAATTAAACTATATTTTAAGATTGGCGGTGCATTCTAAATGGTGATTTTCAAAGTTACTCAGTTTTGAGTGACTTTTTTTTTAAGTAATGAAAGAAATATAATCTTGGTTATATATGCAAAACTACCAGGCATGTGTGGAATCTGTAATGTTTTCCCCCTGTTCAAATTAGTTTTCTTCCACAGTCCAAAGACTGCTAGGTTAACTGGTTTCTGGGAAAATTGACCCAGGTGTAAGTGTATCTTTGTCTGTCTCTGCCTTGAAATGGACTGGTGTCCATTCGGATGAAGCAAAAAGAAAATGGATGGAAGGGTTTTGAATGCAGTCATCATAATTACAATGGGAAGAAAAGATATTTAAAAAGTGAAATACAAACACTTCACTAAGTCACAAAACTGATAGGCTTTGGTTTTCACATACACCAAGTGATAGTAAAATCAACATGCTTAACTAAAAAAATCAGTAAATTATCTTAAATGAAAAAATTGAGTCTACTTTAATATAAAACATCCTTCCCAT